CCTGGGAGGGGTAGGTTAAGTAGGATGGTGAAGAAGTGACCAAGGTTCGAACCTGAGTCAGATCCACCATAGACAGCCTGGCCCTTAGGAATGACGAGCCAGGGGGAAGAGGAACGTGAGATTAGATACCATTCGAAGAATCTTTGATGGATGGGAAGGAAGAAAGATCCTGGTTGGAGACATGAATGCGAAGAACGTAGCATGGGGTGGCAACACCACGGATGAAAGGGGAGAAGATGTTCTAGAGTGGGTACTGGAAAGAGGGTGTATGATAGAGAGTGACTGCGAGAGTCTAGCCACCTTCTCCAGCAACAGGGGTGAAAGTAAAGTTGGATCGACTTTAGCAACAGTGAAAACGCGCAGGTGAATGAGTGGAAGGTGTGCATGGACGAAACAATGAGTGATCACAGAATGATTGAGTTTTGTTTGGTGGGGTTATCAAAGATGAGAAGGGCGATAGTAACGGATGTCAGAGGAAACAACTGGAATGAGCGCGAGCGGATGATGTTCGAGTACCACCTAGTGAGCTTGAATACAAAAGAGGAGATCGAGAAGGAAGCGACGATGCTTCAAGAGTGAGAATCATGCATGAAATTGACACCTAGGAGTGAAAGGATAGTGGACACGGAGAGAGAATGGTGGAACGTAGAGCTGGAAAGCCTACGAAGACAAGAAAGAAAGAAAAAGAGAAACGCTCAAGACACAAGAGGAGAATAAGGAAGGAGGAGAAGTATGGTTGAGTACAGGAGGAAAACGAATACGTATAAGAGAATGATTTTCGTGAGGTAATAGACTGAAAAGGCGATTGTATGAATGATGAAAGAGGGCTTATCTCCGGGGCATGGAAGTGCACGAACGTTGTCTGGATACCAATGAAGGACGGAAATCCCAGGCCAATCAGTTTGTTGACGGGTATGGGAATGATGTTAGACATGCTTCTTAACAGTAGGATGCAAATCTTGTGCGAAAGAAAGTTGAAATTAGAGAGGAAGAAGACATATTCTGGTTGTGGCGTTGAACCTGTCAAACGCCTTCAATACCACATGGGCACCGGCAATTGAGGTGAATGTGAGAAGAATGGGAATGCCGGAAAATGTGAGGAGTACTTGCATGAGCTTTATGGGAGAGAGAACAGTCACCTGTGGCTCAGTCTTCACTTTCTTCCCTCACCACATTGTCCGCCCAGTCATTCACAAAACGTATCCATTCATCCTTTTTCCCATTTACATTTCTCAACATAATTTCTAATTCATCCTTTCCGGCCTCTCCTTCCACTCTCGCCACCTAATCCTGTCACCATTCATGCAATCACGTGCTCTGCCGTTTCAGGCTCCCCATATTGCCAAAAAATTCCCATGCCCCGTGAGCAGTTGAACAGCCTTCCTCGACAGATTCAATGATTCATATCCAACTGTTCTACAGAACCTGTAGAACAGCCGCTCAGTAGTGCCTCTCTCCCATTCCCTCTGCCATTCTCTCCTTATATTTTATAGTATTCTTTTTCTCTCATCTGTCTGGCTATGTGCCTTTCTTACTTTCCATGTAACCTCTGTTTCATTCATACCTTTGGTGGCTTCCTCATGAGCCTTCGCATTCCCTACATTCCTACCATCGTGCCCCTTCTTCCACTTGATCTGAGTACTTCCTCCTCTATCATTCCTTTCCTGAATCATCCGCTGAATCATTGCTATCATTTTACTCCTCACTCTTTCTGCTTTCGCTCTTTCTACAGCCATAGCAGTCACTGATTACTTTCACGCTCTCATCCATGCTTCACATGCTGATCACTCGCTCGATCGCAATCAACTCTGCCTCGTTCACGCTGCTTTGTCCGGTGATCCTTTCATTCCCTGTGATCCATTCATCCTTTCCTCTTTTATATGCCCAGCCTATCCCTAATCTTTCGTCTTCAGTCCTCGCTCCTGCATTCTCATTTCCATACTTATCCCATTCATTTCTAGGACCGGGGGTCTTTTATCCTTCCTAGTTGGTATGTAAGCCACATCTCCTTCTCCCATGCCTTACATTCATTCCATACCAACTTTCATCTGTCCTGTATGCTTTCGACGCAGTTACCTTCGATGATGACAAGCTGGTCATCCGCGTAGGCCTGCACTTGTACTTCAGTTGCCCCAATGACTTTCATACTATTGATTTGCTCAAACCATGCTTCCATCACTATCAACCATAGTGTCGATCCCAAACTTAAACCTTGTGGACAGCCTCTGTTCACCGTTTCAGAGACTGAGCCACAGGTGGCTGTTCTCTCTCCTATAAAGCTCATGCAAGTCCTCCCCACATTTTCCGGCATTCCCATTCGTCTCAAACTCACCTCAATTGCCGGTGCCCATGTGGTATTAAAGGCGTTTGACAGGTTCAACGCCACAACCAGACTATGTCTTCTTCCTCTCTTATTTTCTCTTATCCTATTCACCAATCTCTCTACTGCCATAACAGTATCCACCCTCCCTTCAAAAAATTGTTTCGATGATAATTTCCACTTTCATTCGCACAAGATTTCCATCCTACCGTTAAGAAGCATGTCTAACAGTATACCCATACCCGTCAACAAACTGATTGGCCTGGGATTTCCGTCCTTCTTTGGTATCCAGACAACCTTCGTGCACTTCCATGCCCCAGGGATAAGCCCTCTTCCATCATTCATACAATCGCCTTTTCAGTCTATTACCTTACGAATAATTTCGTTAGGGAATCCATCTACCCCAGTCGACTTTCCATCTAGGAGCTGCTCTGCCACAGCTCACAGCTCCCCTTTCGAAGATAGGGGAGCTGTGATAGGGCTGGTCCTCTTCCCATGCTTTGTGCTCTCTGTCCCTCCACCAATGCTTGACTGGAGTGCCTCTCAGAGGATCGTCCTTAGGGAAGTACTTGCTCAGCAGATGCCTACTGGTATCTTCATTTCCTCGGTGAAGGTACCTTCCTCTTTCAAGTTATTCGACGACATCTCCTCCGCTCTATCATTATCGAGGAGTCGATAGGCTAGGTCCCATGGATGTTCATCCTGGATCCGCTCTTGCATTCCAAATCATTCTCTTATACGTATTCGTTTCCCTCCTGTACTCAACCATACTTCTCCTCCTTCCTTATTCTTCTCTTGTGTCTTAAGCGTTTCTCTTTTTCTTTCTTACCTGTCTTCGTAGGCTTTCCAGCTATGTGTTGTTTTCCGGGTGTTCATCCGTTGTGTACTATTCGATAGTCGACGTTTCGCCATCATCTCAGATAGCATTATCAAGACGTAGCAGCATTTCAAAAGGGTGTTGGTAATGGGTATTGGTGAAGGGTATTGATAATGACATGTTGAGACTGTTATACAGCAGAGGAATTTTGAAAATCATGTGAGAAGCATATTTGAAGATGCAGATAGCTGTCACTTGTCATGTATCACTTGTCAAATCAGTTAGTTTCAACTTCGAACGATGAAAAAATAGGTTTTGAGAACAAATATAAAAATAAAATCATCAACTTTGGACATATATTTATGTTTTATGCAGAAATAGTCATGCAAAATAGTTATGCAAAATATGGAAAAAATAGAATTTTTGGATTCCTTATGCCAAGCAGGTTTGGAATCCATCAAAGTCGGGTCACCTTTGGCTTCCACTTCCGGTCGTCTTATTTCCCTGAGAATGGTATCATTGAAATCGTTGAAATTCTTGCCTTTTTTGGTATCATTCTATAGTACCCAGAAATATGCCTTTCATTCATTAATTCAAACTTCTTTCTATCACTTACGAGTTTGAAGAGCCTTGTATTTATAAAATCTATATGCTTTGGTATCTAAAATTTGTTGATTTCTTTGTGATGGATTGTGAAAGTGTTTCGGAGTTTAAAAGTCATTCCAAGCATTTATGCATTTATCCAAGCAAGCATTTATGTCAAGGTTTATTATGGTTGCTTGATCATCATTGATTTTTTAACATCTAACGGTGAATACTACGTTTCGAATACGTTACAAATACCGAATTCCAAATTATAGCTGAGTGTACACAACAGAAGCAGTCGCTATTGAAATAACAATATTGCAAATGCCCTCATTTCAATTGATCCCAAATCTGTTTTGGAAGCAATCTCTGCTAGTATAAAAAATCACTGTACAGAAATTGATTCGCAATAGACAGATCCTCTCATAATCAAATTAGTACCTATTTCATTCATTCGGACCAAAGGACCATGTCGGCATCAGATGGAATGACATATCCGCAAAATAAGCTACTTAACTACTACTTAATACGGTATTTTTCCAATGAATTTTCTATACCAGGCTAAAATAATTCGAAGAGTTCGTTGAACTATGCACAAAGGAGTGATAATCACTATAACTACAAATATTATTTTTCAACAGTTAGCAGACTCAAATTGAGCCATGTTTCCTATGCCACCTTGCTAGAATGAGCTTAGTAAATACCGATGAATGTCCTTGTGTTGATTCACCTATCGGAGATTCAAATGAACCATATTATTTTAATTGTCAGAAGTCTTCAATACAGATCGGATATTTTAACAAAACTAACTTCATCCAACATTACTTTTCAGTCAACATACCAGACTACTACTAAACGATAGAAAAAATTATGAAGCGATTATTGATTTCAAAAAAATGTAACGCCTTGTATCTAACGGCATGGTTATCCATTTAAATGTAAATCCATTTGACAGCTAAGTTGAAAATCCATTATTTTTGCACTGCAGTTTAAAAAAATCTGTTTTGCCGCTAATCAGCTGTCGCCCTCATAAGATAGACAACTCTCAGAAGTTGAGAAATTTGTGCGAGCTAAGGACTAATGAGGTCTTACCTTTCAGGTCTTTACCTTAGATTCCTAACACGGTATACTTTTACAATTATTTACCAGCTTTTGATAACTACTAATCGAATAACATATTTCATCACAACTTTCTAAAACAATGTAAAACTGTTGCCGCTGCAACATTATTAGTCTTCTGTAGGTATAGGTTGGGTATATGAAATAAAACATCCTCAATTACTTCTTCAAAAAATACTCCTATATTAACAATAATCACAACATTATTCACAAATGAACATCACACACAAATTGAACTTCTTCACACTTCGCTGGGATTTGTATGTGAAATAATTCGTCACAAATCATTCAGCAGAAATATTACAGTAAAAATTAATCTTAGAAGATACTCTTTGAAATTAGGTATCACTTTTTGAATGATGATTTTCGAATCTAAAAGTCTTTGTATCTTCATCTATACATTTCCGGTAATTTCAAAGCTATATATTGTTTATGCAGTCTTTGTTTGCAGAATTCATAGAATTCTATTTCCTTCGTGAAATTTGCTCTAACAAGGTTTTTTACTTCTTCGCTGACTGGTGGTTTGAAGGCGTTTCTGTTTATTGGATTGAAACGGCTGATTTCATCTGAAACAAAAAATAATAATTGTGTGTGATCACATTTTTTGTGGCCTTATCAGTATAAGTATGTAAACTATATCGGAAGAAAAAATAAATATTTCGAAATGAAATCTCAAAAAATGCATCTCTCCCTACACAGTAGGTCCTGGTAAAGGCCTGCAAAAAAACTACTCCTCCGATTAATACCAAGCTGGACATTGCATTATATTCAACAGACGTCCTATTCTTTATGAGGTCCAGCAGGGTATTACTCGGGAAAATAGTTGTATTTTGGCAGAACCTACTATGTAGGTACGTTGGAAGAGATGAAATGTCATTTCGAAATATTCATTGAAACGAATAACATCTGCAAGACTAACTTCTGTGAGGTATCTTGCATAAATGTCAGTAGAATGTAAATCAATGTCCAGCGTGGTATCATCCAACAATATAGTTGTTTTTCGGCAGGCACTAACCAGAACCTACTGGGTACGTATGTTGGGAGAGATGAATGTATCGAGAGATCTCATTCAAAAATATTTATTTTCTTTCAGCCTTATACCCTCAGTTGTAGTGAACAAGAAAATGTTGAAAAAGTAAAAACAATAAACCAATAACTCAAAAGTTCTCACAAGGTTTTCATTAATTGCGACTGGGATCTTTCCTAACCAAACGCCATACCGAAAAATGAGATAGGAATCTGTGAAAAATTTTCATTTTCGGAAGAGTAACATTTATACGAAAACATGATAAATCTCTATATGGCTTTCAACCAAAACAGTCATTTATATTGTCATACTTTATGAATGAGTCACCTGAAGTGATGTGAAGGTATGACAATATAAATTATTTTTTTGACGTGAAAAACTATTTTTATAAAAGTCATACAGGGATGTATCTAAGTGAATGTATTGAGTATGTGTTTGTGATTATTACGACGCTTGTAGATTAAGGGATGATGACTATTTTTAATATGTTAATATTAATGTGGTCGGTAGCCAGGCGGTTCGACGTGGGTGCTTTGTTCACTCACTCGAATTGACTGCCGTGTTGGTCGGTGGTTCAAGCCCTAGTCTGAACGATCGATTTCCACTTGCTACCGTCCAACCCGTGTTAGGAACTTTGATATTCTATCGGAAAAGTTATGTACTATAGGAATTCGTGGAATATTTTTAAACTGGATATTGTCATATAGAAGGTACAGAAGGGTATACGTTAGATGGAATGGTGTTGATTCGGACATGTTTGACACTTCACTTGGCGTTTCCCAAGGATCCATTTTGGGGTCGTTACTATTTCTGTTATACATCAATGAGCTGCCAGAGTATATTGGAACATCCTCGATTGTACTTTATGCTGATGACAAATCGATTTTTGCAGCAGAAGATAGTCCTAAAGAGCTCGAAGAGAGGCTGAATTTTATCAGCAATAATTTTACAACATGTTGTCATGATAATAAGCTTGTGGTAAATGCAGAAAAATCAATATTAATTGAATTTTTTGGTAAAAAAAGATGTATTAATCATATATAGGTTTTAGTCAATAATGTCACGATTCTCCCAAGTGAAACAACCAAATTTTTGGGTGTTCACATTGACACTAATTTATTTCGGAAATTCCATTCAAACCATGTAAATAGAAAACTTATTAGCAGCTTTTGTGCACTTTTGCAACTACGTCAGGTTTTGGATGTAGAATCTTTGATTAACGTGTATCATTCTATGATACACGTTATTCAGATAGAGAGAATGAGAGAACAGATAGACTTGATCCAGAAAATACTATTGACGTTCCAGTTGTTACATATCTAATGAAAATCCAACTGAAAGTGAAACATCACCATTATCGTCTTTTCGTTTACCTGAAGAATAAGAATTACAGTTGTTTCTCCAAACAACAGTTGAACAACAAGCTCTCTATGACTCCCCACTTCAAATAACTCAGCAAGTAAATCCAAATACACTACCTAGACTTCGCAGCATCCATATCTATCAAAACATTTCACCAAGACAAGTGCACAAACTACTAATGATCGTATCGCCTTTACCCCGGAGACAGTAAGACCATTGCCATAAGCACCCCAAATGAAATTTAATAAAGGGTGAAAAACTAGAAAATCAAATATTTATACTGATACACCGGACAAATAGGTGATATGAAAAGAGCATGAAGCAAAAATAAAACGGACCAAACTTGAGCAAGTTAAGAAAATATTAGACGGAAGAAAAGGTAAAAGAAAAAGTTCAAAAAGAATCAGAAAGCGAAGAATGTTACTGTGTTGTTTGCATATAAGGAGAACAGTGGATTCAATGTGGATTAAGCAGTGGATTAGACAGTGGGCTGACGGAGAATGCACAGAAGGTGGTCTTAGCTACGTTTGCCACAATTTCATCTCTAAATACTGTGATTAATCCTAGGTTGAATACTTTATTTAAGTTCATTTTCGGAGTTTATTTTATTTAGGAAGTATTTCACATTGAATTGTGTTTTGTCAATTACTGTCGAATAATCTCTATCAAACAAATCACACAACTATAAAACTCAATAGAGAAGATATTATATCCCATAAGTATGAAAATGTATGTATGTTTATGAAAAACGTACTTACTCCAGTAAATATCCGACGCACCGTCAAAAAACCTTGGAATATAATTTTCCAATACTGCCAACGTGGTGTTCAACTCTTCTAAAACACCTACAACAGCGAAATGCTGTTCAACGGCTCTTTTCGCCCTCTCCAAAGCCCCTTTCGTGTTGAATGGTAGGCATTCTGAATGGTGGCCGCAAAAAAACATGGACTGGCGTCGATGGTCTCCGATTCCTTCTCTGATTTCGCCTTTAACATAGCGACATTCCCTGTCTCCCGACAGGACGCATTGCTCAAAATCCTGAAACGGAGATTAGAATTGAAAATTAGGTTTCTATAATTCAAATTGTTTCCAGATAAAACTGAAATGTAATTGTTTATGTGTGAACTAATGTTATTCTTCAAAGCACGTAACTCAAGTGTGACTACTGTATTGATAGCGACTATATACAAACTGTTGATATTACCATATGCGATTTCAACATTGTGTGTGACAAAGATCTGCATTCTAATAAAAAATATCAACGCTCTGAAAATGTTAGGATTCATTAATAGATAAACTCAACACATGTCTGATCTCGGTGCAATAAAAACATTGTACTTATCATTAGTAAGATTATGAATATAGGATGTAGGGTTCGTATATAGTAGGGTTACGAAATAGAGTCCACTCAAGACAAGAGGGTATCTAAGGTAGGGGGAAATCCTTCAATAACGTCAATTATTTATATTGGCGAGTTTTTATATTCAACAGAAAATTTCTGATGTATTGCTTGAACCAAGACATGCGCTAACGTTTCGAATTGAGCTTATTTTTTTGTGTTTTTAGTGATAGAACGAGTACTAATAAGAATTCCGTT